AATAAATTTGCTATTCAACTTTCCCACTATAAAAATACCAGCATATTTGAATGTGTATTTAAGTGACACAAGTTTTACAGTCTTCTTGTAAAAAGTATACAGCAGTTTCTGAAGCATCACCTTAGTTAAACAATAATCTCATTGTGTATTTTCAACTGAAGTACGTGGTAGAATAGAACATAAGCAGTCAACGTTCAGAACTAGAAGAAAAGTAAAAGCCATGAAGTCTCAAATGAGTTTTCATTCAGATGCTACCCTACCAGAGCTAAGGATCTGGCCACACCTCAAATGTGTTCATGGTTGTTTCTGATGATGACAATATAGCACTCCCACCACACCTAGCTGTATTTTTTACACTCAGCTCAGTCTGGTAACACTGAGGTTGATTTCTGAAATACCTTTATCTGTAGACCTCATAGCCCATGTGTTATGGTGCCTAGCTTAGAGACATGTACCTCTTCTCCCTCCTCCTGGCTATAACCAGCAGTAATGGGAAAGATGCATGATGACAGAAGATACTCCAAAATCATCTTTTCTCCAACCAAGAAAAGCTTTAATTTGCTTTACAAGAGGAGCAGAAGAGGAGTACCTTTGAGGCCAAATTAGAACGAAAGAAGGGAAGAAAATTAGGTGAAAGAGCACTAGGGAAAAAAGATCATTAAACACGCATCAAGAAAAATGAATTTAGAAAACTTGCTTTCCAACTCCTGCCATTTATCTCTCAGCTTTGCTTGCTACTCCCATCTATACATTTTTATTACCTCATGCCTTTGCTTCTTCCATGCAACCTGGTATATACTTGCAAACTCATCTGGAATGCTAATCCTTCTCTCCTTTCAACTCTCTCCTTAAAAAAAATGGAACATTCATTTTGTTTCACTGCAGAAAGTACTATCTATGACTCAAATACCAAACCTCTGGCAAATATATACTGTGCTGCTTGCAGTAAAAATACTTATCTTCTGTAAAACAGAGGACCTTAAGAAGAATTATAAATGAGATGGCATGAACGCAGTCTACTAGGAAAGGCTTACACTAGGGAAAGGTTTAAAACAGAAAAACCAGGAGAGTGATTCTAGGTTGATGTGGGAAAGTTGTAATTCGAGATCTTTTAGTTAAAAAAAAAAAAAAAAAAAAAAAAAAAAAAAAGACAGAAAAGCAATGGTAAGGATTTGCTTAAGTAGCACTGAATCTGCACTGACATATGAAGATGGATTAGAGAACTTGACCTTGTTAAGCCTTTCTCTTCTATGACCCCATAGGCACAGATGTGAAGTAAGTGCATGTCAACGTGCACTCTGTGGCACATCTCAAAGTAGTTCACACTGTGTTTTAATGAATTATTGTTGATATTTTATCTTCTCATATTTACAGAATCTTCTCTCTGGGATGTCAAAGCAAAGGTTTTTCCTCCCCGTCCTATTCTCACACACACTGAGAAATGGAAATGCTAATATTTACAAGAGGCACAGAACTTTCATGTTATTTCCACCATGGTTCAGTAGCTGTGTAAGAAGTCTAGCAATAAACAAAAGTGGTTGTGTGTCTTGTTATTGTTACAGTACAAGGGGTCAGGAATCATGTGTGTGTGTTTTGGCACACAGTCAAATCTACAGGACTGTTATTGGAAGTTTATTTTCACTGGCTGCTTACACAAGTGACTACAGGTGGCAGAGCCCCACTGTGCTTGGATCAGCATTTCTGTACTACACAAAAAGTGACCTGTAAAGTAGGGAAGAAGTACTCAGTCAAGAACAATAGAGAACAAAAAGATGGGCTTTCACTGAAACAGCTGACTAAAGTGAACCCTAGTCACGTGCAGCATAAGGAAAAGTGTCTATTTCTATCAAGCTTCAGCATATTCATGAGTAAGACTGCTTAAATACTTGGCATTTTCCACATAAGTCATTTTATAGTACACCATCACTCTGGAAAGTGATGTGTGTTGCTTTGGAAGTTGAAAAACACACACAAAAAAAGACCCACCATCACCTGAAAATTAACTCTGTTTTAAGTAGAAAATGAAATGATTGTCCCACATTTTAAAATGCTATTTACTTAATTAATGATGAATTTGGAGATAATACAGAATGATCACAACCAGCTTTTAAGAAGGGGTACCAATTAAGAGTCAGAATTTGACTAATTCTTATCACGTTCTTATCTCCAATGTCAAACAACTTTTGAGGTCATTTGCAAGAAGTGCTTCAGCCAGGAGAACCAGAAAAGTAACTCAAAAGGGCTGTTTACCTAGAGTCTTCAATTATCAAATTCAAGGAATGATCACTATATCTAAATATATTATAAATATATATTCTAAATATAATTATTTAGAATAAGGAATATTTCAAAGTCTTCCTTCTTTCTCCTTATGAAGTCAGAGGAATAAAATCCTCAATAAGTTTACCTCTTTTAAAAGACTTCTGCACTGACACAAAAGCAATGCAGACTATCAGGAAAAGAACGGGTAGATGAGCTATGTACCACTGCATGCTGGTTGATTTTAATAACAATTTATTCACCTCCAGTGAATTAAGCAATTTAGTTGTTTTCTTTAGAAGTAAATACACAGTGTGTTTTATTGACATAGCATACTCTGACTTCATCCTTAGTTTCAGGGTTCAGCTCTACTGGCAGCTGCTTTTGGATTTCAGAGCTAACCGTGCTACCCAAAGTAACAGCATAGGATGTCATTTCTCTCAGAACATACGATCTTGTTGTACCCACAGTCTTCAGCCTGGTGGAAAGTTTGATTGCTCCAGAAGGAGAATCATCCCCTAGAACACCTGATGATGGGCTGCTCATTTCCACCATTTGAGTATCTTCCCCCTTCCTGCTTGCCTAACACCTAGCTTGCAATCATCTAACAATATCTGACACTCATCCTCAGCCTGTAATTTCTAGTCCACCATTCTATATAAAACCATAACCTTCAATCTTGCTATCCTCCTCATAGTTATTTCGTTTTCTTTCCACTCATTAAAACACCCACTTATTGCAAAATATAAAGTCCCAAAACCCAGTTTTCCACAAACCTTTAATATGTATCTCATTCTCTGTAACTCTCCTCCCTGCTCATGCAACTGTTCTTGGCTTCTGTGATGTACCTGAAAAGAACCCCTGCTGCTCTTCAGACTGTTGTCAATCCTCCAGCCCTTTCTCATATATTTAAGATCTTCCTATTACAGGCTTTATAGATCTGTACAGATGAATTGAATATATCCTCATAATTGACCAGTGGTGTCACACTCTTTTGATGAAAAGTTATAAAGCTACCAAGTGCCTTTGCAGGAGTTCTGCTTTTCTGTAAGAAACAGTGCCAGAATATGTTAAACTATTTCAAGAAGGCCTATCTAAAACTACCAAGTATGTTCCATTACAGACTCTCACTGATATTAAAGTCAACTTTTATTCATAGAATCCTCACAAGATCTCTTGAGCTTCAGTCTCCATTGCATTCCATTCTCATTAACCATTACAACCTGCACAGAGAGAAGGCACAAAGTTCTTGTGGAAGATCACAAAGTCTTGCACAGCCATGTGTGACAACTCTTTTTCCACTAGTTAATTTTTCTTATATATTTATACAGGCTCCTCACCTCTGTACTCTGACTGGAACTGATTCAGGGCTGCCTTATTTCGTTTGTTACATGAAAATTAGATTCACTAGGATGAAGCACGTGTTACAAACAAACAGCAACTTTCTTGAGAAGCCTGAAGCCAAAGTTCTTCAGAGTGAGGAAAACATTAACTTTTTTTTATTTATTTTGCAGACGAGGAATGCAAGTTCACAGAGAGAGACTTCCAAATACATGCTGAAGGAATTGGTGCACATCTACTTTACACTGTTTAAAACTTGTTGAAAGGAAAAAAAAAAAACCAAAAACTTATACTGCAGTGTGCTACTGACTTTGAGGGCTACAGAGTAAGGAGAAAAACCTAGTAGCAAACTGGATCTGTAAACAGAACATCTTCCAGCTCACTCTGTGAAAAAGCACCTGCACTTCTTCAGCTGTTTCCAAGCCAGCAGGTATAACACAGGAAAGAGAGATCAAAGACTGTGCTGAAAGCCATCCAAAACAATGCATTCTGCAGCCAGGGCAATAAGCCAGAAAGGGAAAGTAAACAGAGGCCTTCAAAGAGTAACATTGGGCTGGACCAAGAAAACATGTAGGCTGAAGGGCAGTGGCTTCACCACGCAGGAGCTTGATGGCATGATTCACTTGGCCATAAATTTTAAAGTTCCCACATTAGGAGTTTTTTCCCCAACCTAAAATAGTCTGTGGTATAGGGATGGGACAAGGAGCCAAGGACTCTTGAATTCTCACTCTCTCTCTCATGTAGGCTAGTCCTTTGGCCTCAACTTGTGCCTTGATATCCCACTCCCTATTTCACAGAACTACTGTGAAAGCAACTGGAAATCTGTGGAAATGAAGAGTGACAGGAGATAGACATATGAATGAAATATGACAACTAGCACATAATTTGTTGTCAAGAATAAACCTTTAGCAATGTATAACATTCTATTTGTTTCCCTGTGCATTAACTTAAATCAGAATCTTTAAAGCAGCATGGAAAAGTCCATGACAATTTATATGCTACCTCTGCACTCTCCAAAATACGAGCATCTCTGGCAAAGCATGCCAAAAGTACATCTTTTCACTCACTAAAATGGCTAGAAGCAAAAGGCTGTATTTTCCATTGCTTCCAGTAGAGCACTGCTCACTATGCTTTAAATTGTGATTACAAACGATCATTTCAAATTAAAATAGTTATATATTGCATTTCTGAGGATGCTGCTTGCAGTTAGCCACATTCACCATGTGATATAGGTTTAAATAATGACTGAATGTTCTTGAGGATTGGCTGCTGAAGGAGTTACTTGGCCATAGCAACATAGGCTCATTGGCTTTTAGAGTGAATTAATTTCCAAGTAAATGATCTCTACGATCTCAACAGTTAGAAGCATTAAAATAAACACATCAAAAATTAAGTCTTACCTATTAGTATCCTGCCCTTTGTGATGCCATTTTTCATCTCATCATTGATCAAATCTGTAAGTTCTTGGCACATAGCGTCAATACTCTCAATGTGTTCTGGGCAGTCATTAGAAATTTTATATCTGTCAAACCACACAGTGGAAGTGGCTCCCTTCATAGGTGTGTAAGGCCTGTAACAGTGGAAGGAAAGGAAATAAATGATTATTTAAGCATAAGATCAAAAGCTGTCAATATAATCAGTAAATAAAAGTAATAGTTAAATAAAAGTATTTTGTTATTTGTCCAGCAAAGGAAAGAAGAAATATCTTTCAGCTCTAATTCTCTTCACCCCCAATCACTTCGCATTTTCTTGCATTTAAAAGACTGTTTTTCAAGAGTGAAGAAGGCATTTGGCTGCTGTGTAAAACGAACTGACTGAAACTTTTAATGTCAAGGTTGATCAGTTCAGCTAAACATTAATCCTAACCCTGTCAAGAGGTTCTTAATCCCAAAGCCACAATTGAAATCCTACAGGGAATAGAATGAACTTAAGTAACTGCTCAACAAGGTAACTTTGAAGGAACTAGTGTTATATGATTCAGTTGCCTCATTTTTGTTGAAATTAACAGGACATGCATATGTCATAAGACAGTACTTGAGCCTTCAAGTACTTCTAAGACATTTCATTATTTCTTTCTTCTTAAATAAACAGCCATCTTCACCTTGCTAAGGTAGGTTACTCAGAAGTAATTGAAAGAAGTGCCATGTGCTTACTGGTTGGTGCACAGACAAATTAAAGGCACAGCAATCTTTTTTTTTTTTTTCTCCACCCTCATACGGTGTTATCAGATTAATATTTTTAAGTACTGTCTAAACCTCACAATCATGAAAGCTCCAATCGAAAGCAGCCTTTTCTTTGTTTTTAAATAAAGAAGATAAATAGAAATCTGAAATCCCAAGAAAGGTGACCTAACTGCCTTGCAATGGTTTCACAATTTAATACCAAAAATCTTGCTTTGAGATCTATGCTTCAGCTCAAAACCAAGCCCCCTAAAATCCTTAATTGCAATGTCTAATCAGGAGCACATACTTCATTTTTACTTAAGCTTAGGTGAGCTCAGATCAGATTACAATCACTGCCTACAAACAGACAGCTTTTGATAAATCTGTCTGGATGAGAACCCACTGAAAAGCTAATGCTGACTTCTGCGCTCTTCATGTTTTCAGTACTAAGATTAAACAAAAACACAACTACCCTAAAATGAGAAAGGCACTAATTCAATTACTCTCAATGAAACAACAAATTCTGCCTTTATTAATACCAGAGAGGTTTCATACATTTCATGTGACAACGTCTACCTCTAAACCACAAATACTGCCACTAGATGAAGTATGCAAAAAGCTGAATATTACCTGCATTACTCAGTTATACAAGTAAAATATGAAACCACAGATTTTCTTCCACCAGGTGCTATGAACATGAAGTACGTAAGATCCATGACTTAAAAGCTGATAAGCCAAATATAAAGAAATACAATAAAGAGCAGGCAGGTACACACAGACTGCTCTGTTTCACCTACTTGAGCACAGCTTCTGTGCTTCTGTTCTGTTCTGTTCTGTGGAGAACAAAACAATCCACCAATACTCAAGATGGTCAACTTCAGTTGAGTGTGTTTAGTCTGTCCTTCATTTGCTTAATTCAAAACTAACCATGTACTTAACAACCAGAACTAATATATGCATATGTTTAAATTAGCCCTTACTTGGCCTTCAAAAATGTGTAACCACTAAATTTAAGGAAATACAGTAGAGATATTTCATACACCCAACAAGCTGAAGATAAATGAAAAAATGTTCTTTTAATTCCCTAACATTAGGGCTGTATCCAGGACCCTTCCTTCATGAATTCTTTGATGCCAAGAAACAAGATTACAAAATTGTTAATTTGCTTATCAGTTTATAAGATTATCCACTCCAGTCAGAAACACCAATATCAGTGAAACCAATGGATTCTCCGGAAGTCTATTGGACAAAGTGCTGTACAGACTGAGCACCTAAACAGAATTTAATTCAATGCTTTAACTTCTCACTTTTACACCAGTCCTGGTAAACATGCTTAGCAGTCAGAGATAGAATATTTTATTTTCTAGTAAAACCAGAGTAACGTGCATACGTGAGAAAGAATGTGTAAGGTTATAGCATTAGTACAGGAGGTCAATCAAGGACTTCCATGTAATGAAGATGTGTTGCATTTCATGGAAAAAATGTATTACAAAAAAATTAAAACACATTTCTGCTTAACTGAAAGACTAAATTTAGAGTCAGTACTAAACCCATGATGCAATTGTAATACTTGATCAGAAGTCAAAACTCATGACTTTGCAAGTTCTTCACACTTTCGGATGAAAGACTAATGGGCCTTAATCCCAAGGTAAGGAGCCCCCAAGCAAACAGATGAGATTCTTTCAGCTGTCTCAAAAGCATCCATGCAACCACTCTTGATTTCTCAGAAATACATTGAGAATAACTTTTACATAAAGTTGAGAAGTGAGGTTCTTTTAATGGTTCACCCAACTGGCACATCTGTTTTAGTCATTCACCTTGTTCTTTATATAAATCTCTTTATTAGCTGGCACACTACAACTCAGACATTACCACGGTAAACAAATATGCTTGGCACAGAACCATCTGAACAGCTCCAAGAATACAGCATAAAATTTTTTCATACAATTAAACCACAAAAGAAAATTCCTATGTTACATGGACACAAGAGATTGGACCAAAATACACAAAAGCAAAGAAAGAGAGACTGGAGTGAAATCTTCATCTATTAAGCTCAGTATGGTCAGTTAAGGACAGTGTCAAATTGAATGGTCTAAGTTTGCATTTTTTGCTTTCCTAAGCTCAAACTGAACTTGTACAGTATTATTCCTAACGCATTTTTCTGTACCTCACTTCTCTTATTATTTTTGAATGGTAGTAAAAACAACTCCGTGTCCCTAAAACACAAGCTTTGGAGATTCTGAATAAAAATACACAGCCCAGCCCACAATACAAAGCTTGTTTGTTCTGGTATTTTTTTTTTAAAGGGTGTGTTTTTGCTTTGCTTGTTAAGCCTCTGGAGCATAAAAAAAAAACAAAAAACAAAAAAAAAAAAAACAAAAAAAAAAAAGAAAAAAAACCCAGCAGATTCAAAACCATATCAGAAAACAGGAACCAAGAAACATCCTTCCAGATATATCCAACTTTCAAACATATATCCATTTGAAACAGCTTCCTACAAGTCAAACCAACTCTGTAGCAAAGAGATTGGATGGTAGAGAGACATGGCTAATAGCATTCAAGAAACTGCAAGAACTCTCAGGAAAAGAATCTTTAAAGTGCTTCCTCACATCATTCTAGATATTTTTTCTTAGTACTTGACGGGTTGTCTTTTTTAAGGGTATGTACTGATGCGTAACTCATGCACATGCTTCTTGAAGATAGCATAGGAAACCACAGTTCAGGAATATTCTACACACCTACCATCTGAATGTCTCAAATGAACAATTTGTGCTTTAGTACCTCTAACTGCCATCCTCTTAATCTTTTAAGCATGTACTCTAATACAGAGGTAATCTTTGCTGTTGCAAAATTCCAAAATAATTCCAATCAATCATGTTTTCACAAACTGAAGACAGATGTGCATCTGCTAATGTGGGTTACATACTAACAAGGAAAGTAGAATGAAAGTAGACAGCAATGCCTCCATCTTTTTCCAGCTTTCTGAAGCATGGATTACACATTCTATACCTTAATCCCATAAAGATTTGTGCTAATAGCTCGAAGTGATCTTAAGTCAACACAGGAGCAGAGAGGAAGCAAACACTGGCGCACAAAGTTCAAATTCAGATCTAAAAATCATGCAAAGTTGTCTCCAAAATGATACTAGCATATCAATTCAAATAAAAGAACACGTGTTTTGATTGTTAACCTGTAAACCACTGTCCATCAAACGTTAAGTTACAAGACATAAAAGGATAAAACAAGACAACTAGCTACTTCCAATAAGAAGTGCAGAGTAGCAGACAAGCACACTGATAATCAATAATCATATTTCATTAAATCCTCCTCTTGAGTCACAGTTTTATCACTGTCTTCACATTCATCACTCAGATTCCTCTGCTAATAGTCACATGAAATACAGGCCACTGGTGATGTATTGAAGAAAAAATAATAAAAAAAAAGCCTTAAGTTCCAGACAGAAGTTCTGGAGGTATGAGACAGAATTAAGAATCTACAGCAAAGTTAAGCTATAAGATTCAAAGAAAGATACTCAGAAAATTTTGAAATCCATATTTTTGCTTCCTTCCCAAGTTTACCTCCTGTCCAGCTAGGAAGCACTGAGTCACATAAGACACTGTAAAGTTGCCTTTTGGAAGTCTATCCTTTCAAGGAAATCTACAGAGCACAGTGCCAGATTATCCAAGATGTAGAAGCAAGTCTCGACTCTGCTAAAACTGCTTTCATTGAAAAACAAAACTAAACAAAACATTCAATCTTACTCCCTAATCCCAAATTCTGTTTGCATAATCTCACTGGTGACATTAATAAACAACAGAACACCCGGTTATTAAGTCTGCTTTTTAATCTCACTGTCAACCTGAAGCTGAAAGTGAATTTGGAGAAAAAAAAAAAAAAAAAAAAAAAAAAAAAAAAAAAACAGAAGGTAGAGGGCAGAGAATCCACACACTCAAACCAGAAGCATTATTCAGAGATCTGATCCAAGTTACATCTTATGCTAAATCTGAGGTTCAACACAGCTTAACAATGAAGCTTTACAGTATGGTAATAGCATGAAATGTGCCAGAAATTCAAACAGCTTCAACAAGTACACAAAAAAAGAGTAATCTCCACAAGGAGTAATTCCATCTGTTCAACAGAACATCCTGTGCCTCCTCACTCAACCACATCAGTGTAAACGCAAATGCTTTCAAAACAGTTGTTCTAAATCTCTGCTGCCTGAAATTGTAACAACTGAGCAAATACATAACAGTTACCTGAAGAAACAATGTTTTGATGATTTTCCTTACTCGTAACAAATGTTTCCCGTTCAAAACAGAGGAAGCTTCAAATGCAACCTACATAAAACTCAAACTCAGCAGGTCAGGCAGATTATTTATTTATTAATTGTTTTGCCTTTTTGCTTTGGGGGGAGAGGGGAAAGGATGCCATTTGTGGGGATTTGTTAAAAAAAAAAATAATAATAATTAGAAAAACAGCAATAACACTGTGGATGAGTAGACTGTAAATGACCATTCCCACCCCATGGGAAAACATTACATATATGCATATCCATGTTTTCCTCACTTAGCAGAAAGTGAGAAATAAAAGGAAGACGCAAAGCTTCTCACAATATGCTTTCATCATTATCAAGCAGAATAGGTCAATTTCTGCTTAGAATGAAAGAACTACCCCATGATACCAACCAAAACCTTTCACTTGTCCCTTAAAATTCTGATTCTAAAAAAACGTTGTGTTACATTTATGAATGAGGTTAGGTCTCACAAAAGCGAGGGATTAATAACACTTGCTTGAGCCAAGCATAGTATGATAGGCACCACGCACGCTCCCTTACACAGCTCTGCCAATCCATCTCAAGTCTGACCTGCAGTACCCCTGCTGCTTTTCCAATCCTAGGCCTCTCGCTAGCAGAGACTGCCAATGGTGCTGAACGGTGCCAAACTGTCTGGTGGTTTTGCAGTATAGCCAAATGGGGACTACGAGGAGATGAAACTCATTTCCACCCGTGAGCAGAGATGCAAACCTAGGTGAAAGGATGGCGACCAGTGCGCATAACGCTGAGCAGCTCACAGCAGCCACAAACTTAGCGACAACAAAAATTAGAATAGTGAAAAAATAGACAAACTCTGCAAAGAATTGTTGGCCTCAGAAAGGTATGTTGAGTGAATGTCAAAAAAGATCCACAAAATAGTCTGAGCGGTATTTATAGTTTACTTTCTGAATTGCAAAAGAAGACTGTCAGAATGGAATGCTAGACAATGCAAAGAATCTTTGACCTAGATTTTTTAAGGGAATTAAAGAAGGTAAGTTATACTTATTAAAACAAGCAGAGCCTAAATGGTTTTAACTTTACCACGTTAGCTTCTGCAATGCCAATTTAAACTATCACTTTCTATTATAAAAAAAAGTTTAAATTGGGTAGCATTCAGTTCTGATTTAGAAACTCAATAGAAACCTAATTTTTAAGTCACAGCCATAGCAGATGAAACAGTATTTAAAGCTGTAGTCATCCTGACCCAAATAAAAAAAGGAAAAAAGGAAAGACTTTCCCTTAAATCTATTACTGTAGACGTGGCTTTAGGGATTGCATCAGCTACAAGGGCTACAGTTTGAGATCCCACATTTTAATTAGAAGTCATATATCAGCATTACACGGGAGAAGAAATACAATTCTCTTGTCTTCAGCAAGTTATATCTATGTACGCTAGCACTGTCTTGAAAGAAAGCTAAAGCTGAAAGAAAAACAAATTAAACACATCTATGGATTTTTTAATATCCCAGTTGCCTATGTGACAGAAAGCAAGAACTCTGGAAGTGTAAGTTTGTAAAGCAAGTCACTAGAACAAAATCTTCATGTACCACATTCAGGCACTTCCAAACATTATGCACTTCCAGCTACCACTGCTCTCACTGAGATTTCAAATCCCTGTATTTAGCCATTTTTTAATTTAAGTACACTCTTAACCATAGAGATTGTTTGTAACTGTAATTTGCTGTTAGAACACCTAAGTATCTTCTAAGTAATTTCTGTTACTTCCAGTCAGGAAACAAGTCAACTGGAGAAACTTCAAAACACTCCAAAGTAATAGGGAAAGTGCAAAAATGCTGCACACACTTTATCTGTTTGGGGGACACATGGAGGATCATCCTCTAGACAGACCCTGAACATTGCAAAATGATTAAAGAAAAGTAAGCCTTTAAAAAGGCTAAAGTATTTTACAGAGACCTTCAGAGGTACAAAACAATTTTTATAAAACATAGTTCAGAAATGTTCTGTTGCTTTTACCCACACAGACAAAGAATTCTAACTAGTGCTTGCTGGACTCGAAGCTAATCAAACAAAAAACACATTTTAGAATTCTTCTAGCTTACATGTTGGGCTGGTTTTCCAAAATAATTTTTAAGTGTCCTGACTCTTGAATCAAAACACGTCTGATGCTATAGTAATAAAGGAACCATATGTGCACCAGTGCTCAGGATAAATTCTAAATAACGTTTAGAAAACAAAACCTATCTAAGCTCTCCCAAAGAACATAAGATTTAATGCCTTATTGAGAATTTTGAGCTCTGCTGCTGTTCAGAACTCTATGTGAGAGTTGAAGAGCCAAATCTAAAGAGTTACCTATCAACAGAATTATATCAGTCAAAATTTTGAAATGAAAATTTTTGAAATGCAGTTTACCCTGTGAAAGCCTCTAGCATTGCAGTTCTGTTATCTTTCCTTTTACTGGCATAACTGCTTTAAGAATGTTCAGTGTGTACGTGGTAAGCCATGCTGGCAAAGATAGGAGTTTATTATAGACTATGAACTACATTCACATTAGCGATCTTGCCAGAAGAGCCTGTTAGCCAAGAAATCCTGGTATGGTCTTGCCTACCTTGAAGCTTTTCTTTGATTTCATCATTAATGTAAAAACCTGCTCACAAACCTTTCTGCTCTGCTTTCTAAAACTGACAATGCAGTGGACAACATTGTACCATCTAGAGATATTCTTTCACTCATCACTGCAGCTTTTCATCAGCATCTGTTTCCAGATACTCAGAAGCTGGATCAGAACCATATTCCATACTTGCACATATGCAACTGCCCACCTGCAGGTATCATTATCAGGGACACTGAATTCCCATGCTGGTGCTTGAAACATTTGGCAGTTACCAGAAGATGCATACACATAAACATAAGTATATACACATGCATACATACGTATGTACATACACAAAATCATAGCACATTCAAGTGCCTAATGCAGATTTCTCATTTGCTACTTAAATTTGGATGATCTAGACCTTGTTTTCATTTTCTGTGGATAGCAGGATAATGTTTAGATGCTGTAAACTAAGGGATATAGTTTAGTGGGCAAATATTGGTGGTAGGTGGAGAGTCAGACTGGATGATCTGGGAGGTCTTTTCCAACCCTGATGATTCTATGATTCCAAGGAGAGGAATCATTGTAAATATATTTAAAAGCATAACGTGTTTGAGCTTGAATACCAAAATAACACTGAAGGGGTCTGCAAAGTCTTCTGTTATTTCTGTTTCAACCAGTAACACTTACCTTCACTTTTCATAGTTGCAAAGAGTGGTAAACATTATTGTACTTAATGATCTCTGTTTTATTTCACTGAATCATCTAATGGTGTTTATCAGCAATGGAAGGGTTTACATTAATATTCCGAAGCATAATTCACATTGGCAAAGAGAAGTAGTGTGGGTATTTTTAATTCTTTCAATACAAAACTTCTCATAATTTTGATAAGAAACACTTAACTGAATCATGCATGGTCCGTAGCTACTCTAGAAATGACTAAAAACACTCTTTGCTTTAAAAATCTTTGACATCTTCCTCCCAATCTCTTCATAAAAGCAAAGAAATCCAAAGTCTTAGAATAAAAACAATGAAAGCCCGCATTATTGTCATTCATTTAGCCTTGATCTTGATTATTAATTTATACATGGCTTATATCTGTAGTTATCCAAAAAGCCCCCAAAGTAAATGAAAAATGTATCCCAGAAGGGCAATGGGATGGAAAAGATAAGCACCAGCCTCACAGATATGGTCTGAAGTGCTCTGGCTACATCCAACACTTGACATTTCATACGGTAGCAAAGCTTCAACATTTCTCTAGTACTTGCTCTTGACAGGGAAGAAACAGAGCGCATCACTATGTTTGATCTGACGCTGAAAATTCCGTCACTTTAGTCCGTCATTAATGAAGTAATGATCACATTATTTACAGGCACTCATGTTCAATGCCTACTAACCCAAAAGACACTGCTTTAAAGGCTTTCATGGGCTTGATTTTTCTGTAACGGTGAGCATATTCACACCGCAATCTCTCAATTGCTTTTCCTGCTTAAGTGGATCAAGGTCAAGGAAAGGTTTTTTACATATTAGTGATGCCAGACAAGATCTGTTATTGTACTTGTTAATCTGCTCCAAGAATACTTTTTTTTCTGACTTTCAGAACCTTCTACCTTGAAAGTTCATATCACAATATCACAATTTCTTTCCCTCAGCATTCAGCCACACACTGGCACAGAGGTAAAGGTAAAGAGCCTTTAGGCCCATTACCTTTAAAGAAAACATTACCTTTAAAGAAAATGTTTTTTAAAAGTTATGAAAAATGAAGCACCTTTGAAATAAGACCATATCTTTAAATAGTTTCATACAGGCATAGGTGACCAACTTCTGCCCTTTATTTTGATCTCAACTTTCAAAATCACAGGGGTAAATATTTTTATCTCTTTGTTGCATACCACTGAATACACAAGTATCACTTAACAACAAGATCTTACCTACAGTGAACACTGAACACAGTTCTTTTTGACAGTTGTGTCAGAGGCAAAATTAAGGAAAAGTATAAACTTTAAATACCCAGTCCTTCCTCCAGGAGTTGCAGATTTTTTACATCCTATTGGTCGCAAAGACCATCTACCAAGAACTGAAGCCCAGCATTAGATACAACAAAGAATTTTAGTGTTTAAATTAATACAGGTAGAACAGAGACACAGAATACAGCTCTATGATTCAATTACAGCACACAGTGGAGTATCTTCTACTGACGTCAAGGAGGTTGAAAGACTAAAGGACAATACCTGAATGTGAATTGGAAATTGTGATGTACATGAGATCTTAATCCTTCAGCACTGCAGATGCAGTGCAGCAATGCACTGTTCAGCTCTGATTTTGCCAAAAGGCATAAACATTAAGGACACATTACAGCAATCTGCACATAATTCGCAGTAGTGGATCAGAATAATTTACTTGTACTGTTAAATATACTAAGCAATACCTGGCAGGAGCTGTTGGGTAAATCACTTTTATATGCTGGAAAACCATGTCTTGATTCAAAATTTGTTTTATCCATGTTCTTACTCCTTGGCCAGTATCACCTGTAACACACAGAAGAGTACAGTACAAATTACTATGTATTGTTTTCCTTCTAAATGCACGACGTCAAATGTATTTATATTAGATTGAGCTAATTTCTTAACCACAAAGTTAATTCTCCAAACTCCTACAGAAAATAACCTTTAATAACATCAATCACCTTTAAACTGAAGATGAACTCAAATACTCCTAGACACAGACTCCTCAGGAAGCTCCACAGCATAAGTTCAATAAATACTTTACTACATCCAGCAGCTGAATACCTCCTAATCAGGCACAGGGCCTGACATCTTATTTGAAACTTACTTGCTGATAGCAAAAAAAAAAAAAAAAAAGAATACCAGTGGATATTTCAAAAGTGAGTTAGAAAACTTGCTGTAGTGAAGTGTGACTTTCTCTTTTAAAGGGAACAGCATTTTACACTAAACCACTTCAAAACATAGTCAATCAATAATGAGAATCTTCACATTTTATTATGCTAATGTTATACATAGTCTTTAAGGAAACTGTCAGTCAAACACCCCCAACTTTCTGTAAATGTGTTCGAGTTTTAATTCAAATATCTGTCAGGCTCCTCAAAACCATTAATCCATTAATGGTCTATTTGAACACTGGCTGAGCTCTACTGTATGGTTTACTATTAACTATCCAAACCTAGCTTATAGCCAAAGTCCCTACAAATAGAAGGGCTACGAACAGATATACAGAATGAATTCAAATGCAGCACGTGTTCCTTTCAAGCAAATACTCTTTCTAGTCCTCATCTTTGCTGTATCAGTAGCTTCAAATATAACCTGTCACCTGCCTCAGATTGCATGCACACAGAGGTCTCTAGTAAAGACTGAGTAACCCAGCTCAAAGAATATGGTTTCTAGGAGACTGTAACAATCTGTAGTAATTTCCAACCTAAAAATTCAGCCAGGATTCAGCAACCTGGAATCTCACTTCTGCCACTCATGCCATATTATTTCATTCTTGGCTTAAGTCAAAGATTCCTTCATATTCTCATCTCAGATCACTAATCTGAATTAAGAGCCTTCTCTATTGCTGTATTTCAGACTGGTTAGGTTGACTTTAAAACTTGCTTTATTCCATATAGTGACCAAGCCACAAGATAAACTGTCCCAATCCACACTTTCTGTCCTTTTACATGAGTTCTTCAGAACAATGACACATGAATATAGCAACTTACTGGTACACTACTTATAATTCCCCAATAGACAAGGTTTTTATCTTGCTTTACCATTCACAGAAAATTTAGAGACTTCACTGTATTTAAAGCCAGTGCATTTTAAAATTAACAATAGAAAACAAGAACGATCCAAATCCAGCTTTTTGTTTTTCTGTTGAGCACATAGCAAAACCATGAAGTTCTGAGCTAAATATCCCAAGTGGCGAACAAACAACAGGGTCCCAAAACCAACACATTATTGTGCTATTTTAAAAGTCAAAGTTATGTCTTCAACTCGATGCTTCAGAACACTTCAGTTACTTAGCACTTTCCTTACATGAGTTGTGAGGTTTTTGCTAATATGAGTAGAAGCACCTACAGTTCTTGAAGCTGGTTTGCCAATGTAAGGTAGATGCAAAACTCATTAATATTGACAATGGCTTACTGTATACTAAGAGCTCTCCTGGTCCAAATGCTATGCAACCTGCAAGTACTTCTGCGCAGGGGTGAAAAATTTTGATTCGCTAAGAACAGAAAGGAGGAGAGGTAGAGAAAACCACAGTGACACCAAATAAAACACAACAGCATTCCAAAATGTTTCTCTTTAAAGATATTCTTAGATTTCAGCACTGTTTATCCTTCTGACCAAAGAGGCAAACTGTCAACTAAGAGGCAGTCAGCTCTGTTTCCAAAAGTGAAATAAACTGATGGCTGCAATACTGTCTTTCTTCCCCTCTTGAAGTAAAACAAATTGTTTTCCTTTAAAATATATCTTTCATTTTCAGATTTTCTTTTAGTATTTGTTATATAAAGTTGTAAACTTAAGTTGATCAAATGTACAATAATTTAAAGTTTGATTTACAACCATTTGCTTTCTTTGCTGTTTGCAACCAAACAGATCCCCCATTTGAAATTGGATGTATAATACCTGAAATTTTCTAGCTTTTTTTTTTTTTTCCTCATACCATTTTGTATTTACATTCTCCACTAGTCATATTTTGGCTGCAGCAAGTATTATTAACAAAATGGATTCGTGCCATTCAACTGCCACTTCCCATCACAAGCGCTGTATAGAAGGTACCAATTCAGTTTTATACATCAGCCCACAGCAATGGCACTGTGGCTACTTCTGTTTTAAATTCTATCCTGTGGAATTGCTAAACAAAACCAAATAAAAGCACCCTCATACTTACCCCTTGCAAACCTTATGACTGAAATCATATTAAAAATGAAAAATTGTGGAGTGCTTTGACCACATGTGGAACCAACTTCTAACCATAATCTTCCCTTCCTCCTCCAACATGAGAGGAAATTATTTCCTTGAGCATTAAAACATTAGCGTTAACAAGAGGGCTGAACACACCTTACCAACTCTCTTTCATTTTTTTGTTTTTAAACTTCCAGGATTTTAGAAAAATGTAATTAAACTATTTAAAAAAAAAAAAAAAAAAAACCAACACCACAAACAAGCATCTATATCACCTAAAAAACCAAAGCCTACAGTAAGACTGAAGGAGTTAAGCATGTCATCATGTGAAAATTACTCAGCAGAACAGAGTGCAAGTCCTTGATGTAATAAAGACCTATGATCTTTATGACCTTTTTTTTTTTTTTTTAAGAAAAAAAAAAAAAAAAAGTTTACGTGGACTTTGTGGCTGTTACTTATATTAACCTTTGGAATGAACTCTCTCCTCTTGCCCTTGGACCACTTGCTGAAGGCCTTCTGTAATGGCCAGAATGCCCACTTGCACAGGCTGGAATCTTCCCAGCAGGTGCCTTACACAGCCTATTAACACACTTCTAAAAGAATTATAGAATCATTCGTGTTGGAAGGGACCCTTAAGGCCATCTAGTCCAAACCCCCATAATTAACAGGGACACTTACAGCTTGATCAGGGTGCTCAGAGACCCATCCAGTCTGACACTGGACGTCTTCAGGGACAAGGCATCCACCTCTGCACTGTTTTATTCTCTTACCGTCCTGACTGTTAAAAGCTTGTTCCTTATATCCAATCTCTTTTAGTTTCCAAAATCCATTTCCTCTCATCCTGTTATAACAGACCCTACTAAAGAGTCTATCCCTTTCTTTCTTACAGGCCCCCTTTAGATACTGAAAGGCTGCTCTCAGGTCTCCTGGAGCCTTCTCTTCTCCAGGCTGAACAGACCCAGCCTTCTCAGCCTGTCCTTGTAGGGGAGGTATCCCACACCTGGGATCATTTTTGTGGCTTTTCCTTGGACATGCTCCAACAGGTCCATGTCTCTCCTATACTGAGAACTGCACACCTGGACCAAGTACACCAGGTGAGGTCCCACCAGGTTGGCTCTCTGGGCTGCAAAGGGCACGTTGCTGGCTCATGCCCAGCCTGCCATCCACCGGTACCATCAGGTCCTTTCCTGCAGAGAAAGGTACCGGTACTCTGCCAGTCTGATCCCAGAAACTCCAAGAAACATTTTAATTAGGAAAATCATCCTTCACAGGTAGCTACTCTCAGAAATAACAGAGTATCAAACTAACGGGAGCACAGCTTACAGGCAAAGTGAGCCGAGCAGGTATAGGACAGAACCACACACCGCAAGTGACCCAGACAAATGGGAAATTTGGAAAGCTCATACACGAAGCCCACCCCCACCCGGGGTAAGCCCCACGCTGGCTCCAGGAACGGGAAGGAGAAGCTGAAGCCGCGAGGCATGAGGCACCCGAAGCCGGATTTCCTCCCTCTTAGCCCCGCCGTGCCTGGCAGCTGCCCCGCCGGAGACGGCCGCCACGCTCCCAGCAGAGCCCCGCTGCAGAGGGCGGCTCTCCCCGCCCTTCCCAACAGGCAGCGAAACCCTGCCCCGCGCCCCGGCCCTGAGCAGCCTGAGCACCTGAGCCGTGCAGGAAGATGAGGGAGGCGGTGTGCCGGCCAGCGGGGGACACCACGCTCCTCCGCAGCGCCGCCATGCCCGTCACTGCCCGCCCTCGCCCTGCCCACGGCGCACCCATCGCGCCGGCGCAGGGCCGGCCTCGGGCGAGCTGGGCTGCGCTCGTCTATCCAGCGCAGAGAGAAACTGCGGCACGGCTAGGGTGTTGTTTTTTTGCTGTTCGTGTCCCCCTGCGTGTATTTCTTCATCTTCTCAAATAGCTCTGTCAGTTTTAAAATGAGGTTTCCATAGGCGGTGTAAACCTTCCTTGTATTTTTTTTTGTTTGTTTTTCCGTAGAGCAAGTAAAACTCTCACCACGCTGTTCTGATTAGAGCTGACTCTGAAGTCCTCACTTTTAATTCCATACTCCAGTGCTGCAGTCTATTTATAGAAAATAGTATATCTGCACAGACCAGACCCTATATTTAGAAATGCCATATGGTGGACAAATGAGGGATCAAAAAGCAAGAGGATTGGGGGCTGTCCCTTTTATGTAGCCATAGACATTTTGAAAGGTGATTAAGCTTCAGCCTCACCAGGTGCATTTTTTAAAGAGTAAAGGCCCACTGGCAAATGAGCAGAAGGCAAGCAGGTGGCATGGGACTCTTTGATGGCTCTTTTGCACTTTCAGAAAGTGAGGGGCCTGGAAGGGCCAGCGTGAAACATACCCAGAAGAAATTATCTGACCTTAATTACTTTCTGAATATAGTGGCCCTGGGTAGAATGTATTGAGTTGCTATATAGCATTAAAGAGTAGGAATTTTCACTTTTATATTAACTTTTAAGAAACATCTTAACACACACTTTCATCGAAGCCATAAGGTTTATTTCTAGCAATGTGTAGATTAACCGTCTGCCTCAGTGCTTTGAGGTCTGCAGTACTGGAATAAGGATGACCAAGCATAAGTTCCATTATTGCTATTTCACTAGCCAGGTGCAGTGTGATCCAGGGGGTGAGCAGCAAGTTTACAGATTAGCTTTGCAGTTCATCATGAAGTATTTTGGCAAGCTTTAAGGGCACACCTGTTAGTCCTTAAAAATGTAATGAAACCTTAGCCTCTTGAGGTAGCATGTTATTACCTTAAGAATGGCCTGTGGGTTAAGTAGATGAAGCATTGGTGTGTGTGTAATATGAAGAGCGTGCTGTGCTTGTATTTCTGTTCAAATTACTGTCCTGACTACTATTTTCCTATATATCTATGTTATGAAAGCTGATTAAACCTGAAGTGACAAAAAACATGTTATGATACCCCTTCAAAATGTGTGCAGCTGTCTTTTAAATGTACCTAGAAGAATTCTGCAGCTGGTTTGTAAAGTAAATAGAGAAAAAAAATAAAATCTGATATTTGTGGAAAATGAGAACATTACATGGTGTGAAGGGATGAAAGATCCAACATTTTCTACTATCCCATTTGTCCAACTCAAGAACACAAAATCTCAGCAAAACCATTTCTCCATGTCAGTCACTGTTGCCACTGCCTGGTAGCGAAGAGATTTGACTTTCAGTATACCAAAGTGATTGTGCTATCTCAGACATCAAGGCTAAAAGGGTTTAGCAAAAATGTTTTGTCATGATTATAGGACATATCTAATATCTTAATCAGACTTATTTGTATAATTTAATATGTGTCATTTTTCATGAGCATTATAGTTACACGAAGGATGACTGAACAAATGTACAACAGTGACGGGTGGCTTTGGACAAATTATTTTGCACATTTTTGACAGCAGGCCATCGTCATGTCATTTTAAAGCTATGGCTTGTCATTCTCAGCACTGATAAGTTGGAAGCTTGGTGGTACAATGTTTCTTAATGCCAGTAAACAAGGCTTGCTGCCAGGAAAAACACAAAGGATAAAGTATCAGACCGTGTGAAAATAGGTTTCTAGAATTTAGGAATTATGTTTGTTGTTGTTTTTTCTTTTTAAGAGAAAACATCAAGTTGTAAAGTTTATTCTTTCTTTTCTATGAGAAAACAAGCAGAGGGTCCTTTGTCTTTCTCTATATGGAGGGACAAGGTCAGTATTTTTAAAAAACTGAAGACAAAGTATCCAACTGTGTAGGCAGAGAACATGAGAGCTGTGCAAAGGCATGAATGGGAAAGAGCTGAATTATGGATTATCCCAGAGAAAAATCAATTCTGTGGGATTTTAAAATCTTCTTAATGATATTAAAGTTCAAAGATATTTGAAAATACTTCAGTGATACTTAAAAATAAAAAATAAAAATAAAAAAATAAAAAAAAAAAAGAAGAAAACCACACCACTTTCTAACTATCTAACTATGATAGAGCTGAATCAAATGCTCAGATATTGTCAGGAGATTATTTTTAATTCTGAGAGTATTCTGTTGCCAGACTGTCATCTCTGTCATCAGTTCCTCCCTCCACCCTGGAGAGGAGGAGAAGGTGGGAATATGCTTGGAGTATGGTTTAGGAAAGTGCTATAGCTCTTTCACTGGCTAATCACGTGAAGCATACAAAGCAGTCAGGCATAACCCATGAAACTCATAGCTGCTGCTAAAACTGGAAGTACTATTGTGAATGAATTAACAATATGTTAATAGCTTTAGAAAATTACAGGCAATATGAAAATAGCTTGCCAATTTTTTTAAACTGGCATCTGCTAAACTTCTGATGCTCGTATTTTTTTTTACAAGTCTTTCACTGCTGACACAGAACATCACCAAAAGGAATTTATTATATTTCACAATCTCAGTAAGCTGTCTTCTCACACCCTTAAAAGCATATTCTGTTGCAATTGCTTCTCTCTTTAAAATTTTCCTGGCCTCAGAGAAATAAATGGATTAAATTTTTGATTTAAATACTACATAAAAATTGAAATATGAGTGAGACACTTTCAAGTTTTCTAAAGAAAGTAGCTGTTAAGTGTGAACTGTTTTCTTCCTTATGAAAGGCTGTTGCTCACAGTGCTCTCTGTTCAGACTGTTCTCTCATACTGACTGTATTCAGAAGAAACCACGAGAGTTTAATTTACTTGCAACTGTTTTGATATTTTTCTCATTTAAAACAGTTTTGCACTTCAAGATTAACTTTAGCTGAAAGCAGTATGTTGCAGTTATTTTTATGTACAGCATGTGTACATATCCAGAAACACTGCTTATAATGCAGAATTAATGCCCTTGAATCCCACATGGAAAAACAGTTTTTAGGTATTGTCCGATTACTGCAGGTTTTTTTAATAGCTGTTTTGGATTGAGGTAGAAGTAGATGGCTACAAAGAAGCAGAAAATAAAATACATCAAATATTTGGATCTGCGCAATATTTTTACACTAAAGTTATGTGGCATGTTTTATTTTTAGGTCTCCTCTTGAAGTCTCCACCTTTCCATAGGTGATATTAACAATTTCTTCCAAGAGTTCTCTGCTGACCTTCATGCACTCATCAAGCCAAACAAACAAAAAAAAAAAGTATGTATTTATACTGATTTTTTTAATAAAAAGTTTGATTCTTTGAAAATTTTTCAACATTCAAAATATATGGATTTTAAGAGGTTTTGTTTTTATTTTCTGTCCAATGAGAAATATACTTTGGTACCTTGTTCTCCCATTCCTTACTAGGAAAAAAATTCTTTGTCTAAACTATATCTCTTTTCTTGTAAATACAGATGCTATTTACCATGCAGATAGGGGAGGAAATCAATCCACAAAGAAAAAAGCAAGTTGTGTTCAGCAACTGAACACTCTCTGGCACAATGGGATCTTGATCCAATGTTGCTAGTTACCACAGCAAGGTAAACAAGTGATAAATAAACAAATCTTGTTCTTTTTGGCCCAATGGATAATTAGCATTTGGGGTCTTGTGAGATAATTTTTCTAGCAGAAGCCAGATATTTACTGCATGCCATCCAATTAGTTAAAAACAAACGAGGGCACAGTCCCAGGGACAACAGGAGGCAGTTCTCTTCTTTAGAGATTGGAGTCTGCAGATCACCAACACTCTGCCAAAACAAATCCAGTCTTGGCTATGTTACTGGGGCCAGTGTGTTTCTTCTGCTCGTTCTTTGCAGTGGGTTTGCTGCTTCTGAGTCACTTGGATGTCCACACAACTGCTGCATCTGAGCCATCTCTCAGGCAAGTGCCTTCATCCATCTTGTTCAGCTTATAGCCTGCTGGAGCCGGGAGGGATGTTCCTCAAGCA